GTATACAAATTTTGTGATGCTGTGCAATGTAATTCTTCATTCCCAATTCAAAATGATCAAGCTCTAATGTTTAGTAATTACCTTTTATCTCGTAAATCGGTACAAACACCTAAGGGAGCATATTTCTTGATTAGTGCTCTTAAAACATTGTCYAATAACAAAGTATGTTGTTTACAGATTTTTATTAATTTATGAAATAATAGAATAATAACTTTACTTTTATAACTATTGTAATATCTATAAAATATTTGCAGTACCATTTGCCAATCGCAGCTACACTTGTAAAACCGATGGGTGATCTAGATGATACACAAAAAATACTTTCTGTGCGTTTCACCAATTTACTTGGAGAACCACTGCCGACATCTCTTTCTGTTGGTGTTGAATCAGCAATGTTAAATAAYAAAGTTGTAATGTCTAAAAATAAATTCAAATCAACTGCCGACAAGTAAGAGTTTATGTCTAAATTTATATAGTAAATTATTAGTAATAATTTATTACCTACATTACTAATAATATTATTTTTGCACCTAACCAATTTTGTGTTTTGTTTTAAGGACTGTATATGAATTAGATTTTAATGAACCAGATTTGTCTATTGGAATCTATAGTATTGTGATAAGTGCTACACCATTAGATAAAGTCAAGATCCCACTATTGGGCAATACAGCTATTCCACTTGAGGTAAAAGTATCAGCTTCTTCAGTAAACATTGTTGACTTCAAAGTTGGGACAACTGATAACGATCAACAATCAGGCCCATCTCTTCAAACGTATGAATAATCTAATTTTCTATTAGTCCAATTTTTTGTTTAATATGATACATTTTTAGTTTGAAATATGGTGAAAAGTTGCCAACTCAATTAAAAGCAGACCACATGCAAAGAATTATWGTCCGCTTTGCTATTAAAGATTATCAAGTTAAGAAAAATGTTCAAGTACACCAAGCATTTGTTAGGTTTACAAATGTCAAGACTGGTTCTCAAAGTGTATTTGTCGCCGAATTGGACTCTCAAAATAATTATAAATTGGATATGGTATGTTTTACAATCAAAATTAATGAACTGTATGTTAATTTAAAAAAAAAAAAATTTTTCTAGGACTTAGGCGTTAAATCAGTATCATTCAAACATGCATCTGGTATATATTCTATGGATTTAATTATCGGTGACTCTCTATTAAAGAATCCTATAGTTTGGCAATTTAGTGACATCAAATTGAAATTTTCTGAAGTTGAATCAGATACTGCTGAATCTTTTGCAGATTTTTATAAACCAAAAAAATTAATATCTGTGCGTAAAACATTTTATTCTCAAATGCTGTATATTATAATTSAAGTATTGCATTTAACAATAAGTATGTTTATTTTTCAGCATACTTTTAGAGAACCTGAATCTAGACCACCTCATATTGTATCACTTCTTTTTACCGTATTGTCTCTTGCGCCATTGTTGGTTCTTTTTGTTCTGGTTAGTATAAATTACAATCATAATTTTTATCAACTATTTATTATTAAAATTTAACTTTTCTAGTGGRCTCGCTTGGGAGTTAATATAAAAAACTTTCCCTTCAATTTGAGTGCCATAGGATTTCATTCGGCATTAGCAGGTGAGTGGCTTATATCTCTTTAATCATTATAAATTATTAATTGTTAAAMATTATTATTTTCCAGGCATATTCATACTATTTGGTATGTTTTGGGTATACTTAGATATGTTCATAACATTGAAATATTTGTTTTTATTGGGAATTTCAATATTCTTATTTGGTAACCGATTACTGTCATACATTGCAAGAAGAAGAAATAAGTAACTTAGATGACAATTCTATTGAGTGGGTTATCGATGATAAAGTCAAATTATCTTTATTCGTTCTGTTGTGTGTAAGCTAATGTCAGATTCAATTTCTTTTATCATTTTTGCTAGCATTGAACAATATCTTCTAAATTGTATTGTAAAACTTCAATGTACATATAATGAATAATTTATTACATTTATAAATATTAGAATATGAAAACATGAATTACACACTTATAATAGACATATATACATTGTGTATATATATGCATATAAATATGTATTTACCTACTTAATTTTAAAAATTACAAATGATATTTTCTGAACAAAGCATTTTTGTATAAACATACTTATTTTTATTTGTCAATGTATTGGGTTGAAGAATTTAATTGAAGGCTAAATTTCTTAAGGCAACAAATGTATTGTTTTTATTTTAAGTATTATTTGTTCTTCGAAATTATGTAG